TTTGAAAAATACATTTTATTTTTTTCTGCATTTGAGTGCATTGGGAGGTCCATAGAAGTCAATAGCAGTGTATCAAAATGCATATAACATGGTATTACCAAAAACTGGTGAATGATTATTAACTCTATCCATTCTAAATTCTAAAACACATTGCACATGTATAGATCTAATGAGCCATAAAAGATTATGATACTTTTTAACCACATACCTCAAGTTATATCCCTCCATATTTACACATAGCTTATCCCGACACTTCTCTGCCTTCCATTTAAAATTAGCAAAAAGCTCCTATTTAACAGATAATTACTTTTGGTGAGGCATCTGCCAGTCTACCTGGGATCTCCTCACCCAAAAATAATCACATGATGCATCTCTCCAAAACCTCCAGATTGTGCGAGGCAGTGGCGACTCTAGGAACAATATGTAGGGGGGGCACATAAGATACAACAGTCAAATCTGGGGGGGCACTAATAATTTTCATTGCATGTCGCAACCGCTGGGCACCGATGAGCTGATTTAATTGCAGATGGCATCGGCACCCCGCGTTTGCGACATTTAGTCCAAAGCCGCCCACAATCCCGCATACCGCAACGGCCGGGCGCCGATGCCATTCGCAATTTAATCTGTTCTCGACGTCCGGCAGTTGTGGAATACAGCATGGACTGACTGGCAACTTTTAGCCCAGGGGGCAAGTACAACCCAGAGGCCCATGATAACTTAGCCCACCCTCCAGCTCTGCCTCTTCCCCCCGCCCCTGGCTGCCACTTTTGGCATCCATGTAACACTAGTGTGAATGCATGTCTGTAGAATAAATAATCATTATTGTCACTGAAGTAGCAGTCACTGTATAACTTTATTAGTTGTTGCTGCAGCTGGGAAACAAACAGTTAAACCCCTGTGCTGTCCATGAGGGTCACTATCTGCTGAATGGTGGTCTATAAATCTATCTGATAAGGGATTTAGCTGCACAGTGCACACTCCAGACCGTACAAAGATCTTTAATTTATGGCATTGCACCCAGGATTACAACCTCTCTCTCTTCCCCTCCCCCCTTCCCCTCAGAACTCCTGTGGCACCAGGAGAAGTGCTCTGACAGTTCACACTTCACAGACTATGTATTCACATGACGAGGAAGCTTATGTGTGGGGAAATAACCTTGTCTATTTTCTGCTAAAAAGATAAAATGATCACTGATCAATCACAGAGATTTCCCAGCATGGAAAAATCTATCCGGTCTATTCACAAAAGGGTGAAGAGTTTGGAGAAGGCAGGAGAAGTGAACCATCTAGGCCAAAATAGCGGATTTGGAAACATTCTCCAATTCAGCTCACTTTCCAGTTCAGCTATGTTGGCCTAGATTGTTTACTTCTCCTGCCTTCTCCAAACTCTTCACCCTTTTGTGAATAGACCTGTATGTGTGTGATCAAAAGCACTTGTAAGCATTGTAAGTTTTTTTTTTTTTAGCTTAATTCAGCGGGGGGGGCAAAGCATAAAACAGTGGGGGCAATTGCCCCCCCTTGCCCCCCTGTAGTGACGCCTATGGTGCGAGGAAGCTTATGTGTGGGGAAATAACCTTGTCTATTTTCTGCTAAAAAGATAAAATGATCACTGATCAATCACAGAGATTTCCCAGCATGGAAAAATCTATCCGGTCTATTCACAAAAGGGTGAAGAGTTTGGAGAAGGCAGGAGAAGTGAACCATCTAGGCCAAAATAGCGGATTTGGAAACATTCTCCAATTCAGCTCACTTTCCAGTTCAGCTATGTTGGCCTAGATTGTTTACTTCTCCTGCCTTCTCCAAACTCTTCACCCTTTTGTGAATAGACCTGTATGTGTGTGATCAAAAGCACTTGTAAGCATTGTAAGTTTTTTTTTTTTTTGGCGATTATTGCAAGCAATACCTAAATATATGGCCAGATATGGCCGCGTTCAAATCTGTTGCACATTGGGCTACTACTGAAGAACGATTAGATGCATATCTGTGGGCATCTATATACTATATGTATAAGATCACAGGGCAGATGTAAAGCTGGCTATCATATATCATATTATGAAGATGACAATAGGTGAGAAATTTTTTTTAACAAAACATACACCATATTTTCTAAACTGTTGTTGAAATCTCCAGTTTTACCATAATACATTATAAATAGCAAGATGTGAAAACAGAAATAATAAAAATACCAAAAACTGCAAAATGTAGGCAAATGTAAATTCCTATTAAAGAAAAATTAGTTATGTTAAGCTGCTGTCAGAAAATGTATGAGCTGCTTCCCGTGAAAATGATCAAGAGCAAACCTTTTAATTCAGTCAGGAGAAATAGAATCTGTAAGACTCTCCTCCTTTTGATAAAAAAAGATTATGAAATAGTTTATTCAACAGACAAGGCTGCTCAGTTTTCATGTTGACAGTACAAGCTAAAAATTATGAAACAAAATTATTTTGCAAATGTGTTGTTCAATGTCTCTCTCAGTTACAGCTTGTATTTGCATAAATAAAATGCAAATATATGTCTATTCCACAATCCCAAAGAAGCAATAAATATTGACAGCATGAATAATGTGTCTTTATACTCTGTATGCAACCTTTACATATCTCTACTTGTTCAATGACCTATTATGACCAAAGCTTTACGTTTTGGATAACATCATATGTATAAGCAAGGACACTGTCATTACCACTTATTTGCAAAATAGTCTGCTAATAGTACAGTATAGGAGACTTCTAGGCTTTCCACTGAATGAAAATATTCCATTCCCTTCCCACATACACCATAGAAAGTAAAAAAAACACAAAAAAACACAGATCATTTTTTTGTTCTTCATACAGTTACACAAACAGATCAAAAACATACTGTACTACACTGCAGTCTACGATACAATTTCATTTTTTTAAAGTTTTAGCAGTTTATAACCATTTTCTGTTCCCTGCACAATATAGACATTCCTCAACTATGGGCTATGTCAGCATAATTTCCCTAATTTTTTACAAAATACTCTAAATGAAAACACAGACACATACTCAATATCCCCTCCTACATACTGTGTAGGCCATAAATATAACACTGTTAGAGACAAATTTGTCCCCTCATAATGTCAGTCAATGATAACGTCAACAGTTGTCTAATAAGAAAATGATATACTGTTTATAAGAAAACTAAGAGCAGTAATAGTATGATTCAAGGTGGTGTGTTTCTGCCCCAGAGCCCAAGGGTTAAGGCAACGATTCTGTAATCTAAAAAGCTAAAAAGAGCCTTACCTAGCAGAAGCTATGGACTACCTGCTCCCAGCACAGAACCATGGCTAGAGGAGGCAAGATCTATCTGTAGGCAAAGCCACGGGATGGCCTCTGATTAAGCAACAACCATGCCTCATCCCCATGCTGGGACTGGAGCCAGAGGTAAGATTTAGGAAACAGTTTACCTCAGTTTTAAGGAATTATTGTTTCATCTTAATGAAAAATGCAACATTTATGGTGTTGTTGTCCCAATGGTAGTTCAGAGCTCTTCTCCTATTGTAAGAAGGATCTGTGACATAATTTTGGCTAACTTAGACACTTGTACCCAGGGAATAATTGTGTTATACCCTGTACTAGTAACACAGTGCCAGTTATTATACCTTCCTTAGAGGTCTGAAAGAAACTCACATGGAATAATAAAGTAAATCTGTAATGCAAGATGTACAGGAGCTCCCATTTCTTGCCTCCTTCTGAAAATGCTAAATGCGTAAACTGGCTTCAGTGCTTTTGACTCTCTGACCTAAAACTAGACACTGTAAATAAATGTCAGAAAAGTGTCACAATTCCTTATCTCTACACCAGATTCAGGTCAGGGAACTTGCATTCTCAAAAGCAGAGGTCTGATGTGGCAGCATTCATTATTCTTTCATGAGTTTCCATTTAAGGTCTACATATAAGTTACAACTACCAAATAGCAATATGGTGTTTTACAGGATAATTTTCATTCATTCTTGTGACTTGCTTATTTTATTAATTTACAGTTAGCCACAATCATAACCTAAGATTGTTAACATGCAGAGCTCTAGTTCTTTAGTGGAATGCAGTTCACTAAAGTGGTGGTGCCAAAATGAAATGCAGTTAAGTGTTGGTGTTTCTGATAAATGTTGTTAGCAGACAGCAGACCACTAAGGAATCTACTTAAGTGTTACTTGCTCCTTGTGATAAATGTACAGTTCCAGCCTTGCTTACAAAGATTTGATTTATACTAACGTACTTTATGTTTAGCTGAACTGTTGCTGCAACAGCTAGAGGGGCACACACACACACACACAAACCAAAAATAGCACTTAGTATGTGTGTTCCTGACATATAAAATGTTTTTCCTAGAGCTCAATGTAAAAGCTCTATTTTAAGCTACCAGGTTCAACATAGAAATGTGCCCAGAAATGTATTTGCCTTGTAATGTTTTTTAAAATGAATGTGGACTGCAATGTCCAAGAGCATTAACATTGTATTCTCTGTTCATTGTTTTCTACTGGATTGAGCTTTGGAATATTCACCAGAAGCACAACTACTCGGAGGATGTGACATAACTTGGCAGTGAAGGTCATTAAATCATCAGTAATAATGGACACACTTTACAAGATACTTTTTTCATAATTGAATACTAGCTAATCAGTTGTCCTGTTTTAGGATTTGTGTCATTTTTGTGCTATACAAATTGGTATGGAGTCCACCCAAAATATTTTAGTGTGATTTCAAAACTTATTTAGTTGAATTTAAAGAAGATGGGCCTGTATTTTTATAGTGTTGTAGTAACTTTCTACTACTTCAGTTGTAAAATGAAAGATAATCTGAAAGATTCATTCATTAATTACTAGGGAAGACAAACAGCTCCTGCTTTAGATATGTTAATTAACGAGCATGAGTTCAAGTGATATAATATGATGTCTGATTTTGATATCTTTCACATGCAGATACTATTTTTATTAAAGATAAAAACATAAAGGGTAAGTTAACATGTGTGCCTTATGCGGCTTACCTGAACTACTAAAGTAGCTTTGTGTTTTCTACTGTACATTGAAGGCATAAATCCAACAGTAATTAGAGTCCCAGAAGTTCCAATTGGCATTAATTCTCCAGTTTGTGGAAATACAGAAAACTCCAAGTCACTGCCTGGTAAAAAATATGCGCTGAATGGCTCTGGATACCTTGGTACATTAATAAAAAGATTTGAGTGTAATTAGATTTTATCTTAAAACAAATGAACAACAAAATACAGCATAATGAATTGATAAATACAATAAAAACTAGGCACGAGTCATTTCAGCAGTGAATAATGATGAAATATCAGGAAAGATTTTCTCCTCCTGAAGCACTGATTAGAAATGGGATAGAAATGTCAGTAGCAAGCTGCACTTCAATCTGTCACTACAGGTTGGCCTCAAATACCATTACACCAATGTCGCCCTGCATTTGTGTGCCCTGGGAAATAAAGAAAGGTCATACACCTTAAAGAATCACTGTTACCACCATGACAGGTAAATGTTGCCAGGCAATTTATAATACCTTTTATTTTGAAACCACTCAACTATTTGAAATGGTCATAATTTACTAGACATGAGCTACATTGCATTTTGTGCATAATTTAGAGACAGCTGTATCTGACATACAAGCAATTACTGCAGGAACATTTATTTCTTAAAAACACTAAAATACTTTCAAATACAACAAAGTTGAATGATTGTCCATGTAACGTTGTAGGAATCATTGGCCATGGTTATTCTAGTTCAAAGTCTGAATCCTAGTCTAGATTAGTTTAAAAATGATTATGGCTAAACCTACAGATGTCTGAAATCAATTTAAATTTTCAGAACATGTAGGGCACAACATAAATTGTTGTATGATGTATACAATTACTGACAAATGTAGTTTTAATGTAACCACATTCCCCATCCCAGTTAATGTTTTAATGGTGAAGTCAATTACTGGTTCCAGAGAACAGAGCAAGGTTTAGGACATCAAGAAAAGTCTTCCTATAAAATTCAACTTGCATATTACATAATGTCTTTCAATATCACAAATGATTCAACAAACAAAAAGAAAATGAAACATGGACTTTTGCAGCCCCAAGTTTACAACATAAGTAATTAAAATAGATGTTATTAAATGTAGATAAAATCCTTAATATAGCACTGCTGTGAGTGCAATAAATGTATCCTAACTCAAAAAAAGGAGATGCCATTTGATGGGTATTATGTTGAAGATGCCTGATGCACACCATACAGCGTTGAGACCAATAAAAACAGGAAAGGTGCTCGAAGTGACCACCACAGATTGCACTGTGCAAAACCTCAGTAATGTGAAGATAGGTCACTAGCACTCCAAATGCAAAGAAAGTTTTTTTATTGCAAAAAATGTCACACAGGTAAAAATTGCCAATGTTTCGGGGACCACACAGGGTCCCTTCCTCAAGGTGACACTGTGCAGTTAGTATTAAATCTCGGTATTCATAAGCATAGGTTTACCATATGGTGATAGATTAATTATCCAACTCTATGCATTCCTCAGATTATTGGTCCCCTACTACAGGAGTAAAATGGATGTAATTGCTCTTTAGCACATAATGTAAAAAACATTTGCAATGTGGGTGGTAGGGCTGCAGTAGATCCTCATTGAACCATATTGTGGCAAAATGTATCCCGTATGTCATATGGTGATATTCTCACACTTCAAGAAAGGGCTAAATCATCCATTTGTCAATACGCCCCACAAGGGATTCATTTCACTCTGTGTAGAGGTGTGCAGGCCACCAGTTGACTGGGGGGAGGGTCAGGTAAGTACTTTAGTTTGGAGCTCTGACAAAAGAATGACAGTGAGGATTTAATCCCTTCAACTTCTGCATTTGGGGCATCTATATTTAGAATCTCTGATTTATTTAGATTAATCTTAAAATAAGATATTTTAATAAAGGTTTCTAGTTCTCAAGGCAAGGGTTTGAGATCTGAGGATGATGTTGGGAAAAAAAAGAATGTAATTGACATATGGTATCAGCTTATGCTCCTGAGCATCTACATTTATGCCATTTATGTCTGGGTTGTTTCTAACAAAGATAGGTATATCAAAGACTATTAAAATTATAGTTCTCAGGGAAATGGCAAAAAATAGGGTGAAAGGGGACATCTCTGCTTTATGCCTTTATACAAGTTGAAGCAGGTAGATAATAGGCCGTTAAACTGAAGGGGTGGTGTATAATAAGCTTATCCGAGGTAATAACTTAGGCCCTTTACCAACATGTCTAAGGGTGGCTAGGAGATGGTTCTAGTCAACCCTATCAAAAGCTTATAAAATGGTGATAATAGGGTGTGACTGTTATGGACATTGGCATAGTGAATGAGGGACATGTCTCTCTGGGTATTGTCCCTGGTTTCCTTTCCCATTTGGTGAGGAGAGATTAGATTAATTAAAATAGGTTGGATTCTACTGGCATGGACTTTTGCATATGATTTGATATCTACATCGAAGGTGGAGATCAATCTGTAGCTCCCACAAACCGATGGGTCCTTACCAGGTTTGGGAAAGACAGTAATGTGAGTATGTAATGTTTCTGTTATGGGAAGGTTGTCAGAAGTGAAGGAACTGACAAGCACCTAAGTGGGGAGTTAGTATGCATTGGTAAGTTTTATAATATTGTAAGGTAAATGCATCAGGGCCAGAAGCTGTGGTAAGTACGGGCTGTACTTCCTCCTCCATGATAGGTGCTTGCCACTTATGTAAGCATGGTTTTGGCCTGGGGGTCTCATGAGACCTGACTTTGTATAAGGATTGGTAAAATTCTCTTAAAGTTTTAGCTATCGCAGTTTAGGTGTGGGAAAGGGCATCACACTTCCCCCATAATTTTAGATATGAAGCAAGCTGATTTCTTTTCCTTAACGGCTGTACCCAGTAGCTTCCTTGTTTTTTTGCCAAGCTCATATTTTTAGGATATCAGGTTATTAGTATGTTTCATTTGGGTTTCTAAGATATTTTACAATTTCTCCCTGGTTATGGTAAAGACATGCATGTAGCTATCTAAAAGGGATTGTTTGTTTAAATGTTGTAAGTTATAGATTATAGATCTTGTCAGTAAGTTTTCCAATTTTGTGAGTTTATACTTTATTCTATCTAGATTTGTGGACTATGAAGGAGTCCCATATGTAGCCTTGTGAGCTTCCCATATTGACCTGGGGAGAAAGCCCCCTGCCTATTCTCTTTGAAAAAAATGTTTGAGGTCAGAATTAATCATATATTAGATTTTAGGATCTGTCTAGTTTTCATGTGAATTCTGGGTGAGTGCTGTTTGTTAGTTTTAAGGTAGCTACAACTGGCACATTATACAAGGTTGTGGATTATTGTATGTCCATTTTAAGAAGGGGTTCTAAATGTGCTCTAAAGTTGTCTAAAATATATCATCAATTCTCGAGTTTGATTTTTGTAAATAAGAAAATACTGTATAGTCCTTCTCACATGGGTGAAGGATTTCCTAAGTGTCTATCATTTGTAGCTTATGCAAGTTTTTCTTTACAGAGCGTAGGTGTGTATGTTCTATGGACAAGTGTCCTGAAAGGAAACCTAAATATGTTCTACTGGGAGGTTTAAATTACCTACAAGTAATGTCTGATTTAAAGTTTTTTTAACATCGCATCTGAGGTCAGTGCAATTTAGCACGGATGAAAATGTATATTGTGTAAAGGGGGACAGCTCCCCTTTCCTTTTTGTATTCACATGTTAAAGCCCCATTTGTAAACAACATTAAGGTACTTCTAGATTAAGTAAACTGCTTGACTGGTCTTTCCATTGCTGAAAAAGATCTCAGTGCATTCATAGTTGTGTGTTCTGGCATTTTTAAGTAGTAACTGGGGTGACCTTCCGCCACACCTGATCCGTGAATGACTGAAGGGCAGGAGTAGTTTCCTGAGATCCAGGTAGTGCCTGTGGGGGAATTCCCAGGATATCACAAAACTTCCAGGTACAAAAGAACAGTTGTTTTCTAATTTTTCTGGGCTATGAGACAATATGGAAATTCCTATCCATATTGTATGCCCACCAAGCACAGACCTGCTAGTAGGGGGAGAAGTAGTACACTATGACATTCCAAAGTCTCTTGTGCACGGTCTGGAAATATCTGCATTTCAGGCCCCTCCTCCGCTGATCACACGCAGCACCTGTCCTTCCCGGGAGCTGCCCAATACGGCCATGCACGCAGCACGGACCTGTACGGGCTGCCCATTTCTCATGTGAATGAGGGCTAACACATAAAGCCAGGCTTCCTTTTAAACACTCACAGCCGCTATCATGGGCTACACCTGTGATTACCAAGCTGCAATGACAAAACCTTTACTGGACAGCTTACTGAAGTGATGGGATATCGGCCCACCCTTCTCTCCATTATCCCGTCCCCAGGAACCCAGAACACAATTTATAAATTGCACAAGTAAATCATGCATGCTTTCCCTGGGGTTTTTAACTAAAAAGAGGGATGCAAAAAGGCTTGGTGTTCCTATATGTATATATATATATATATATATAACAGCTCCTTTAGTAGTATGCATTTGACATTTTTCATAAGAAATATAGATTCATATATACAAGGGTTAAAAAACCCTCATACCATTGTTGCTGTCATTTGTATAATTCAAATAAGAGCAAGCACCGAAGAGGAAATCATTTCTCCAACATAAAAACACATCACTGGAATCAGGATTTATTTAAATAGCTAAATAGCCATTTTGCATAATACAATTTCTTCCTCTGTTGGATTGCTCCTTTTGACCTTTAACAACTTTTCACTGCTGTGCACAGAAATCCAAATGCAACAGTAACAAAATAAATACAGTTGTGTTTAATGTCCTAATCACTTTCTAATCCTTCCTGGCCCCTGGAATTAAATTCATACAAATAACCAACTCATAAAATGTGGCCTAACTTCAGCAAATCTTTGCCAATTATGATGATAATTTCAAATGTTAATGCCTACTCAAATCATATTTCACATAAAATTATATACTCTAATACAGTTCAAATTAATGAGTACTTAATTCTGAATAATTAAAGTTGCAAAAACAAATTAAAACCTGAAAATAATTGCTGTGTGCTCTAATAAGAATATAGAGCCATGTGTTTTATTTTTAGTTATATAGTCATGTTTATGACTTTACTAATGATTTGTGTGTTCCTTACTTTTCCAACTTTCTGTCACAGTCTGTGGAGAAAGACAAAGTATATCAACACACTTCACTTTTGTAATAATGCATTTTTTTGACTTAGGAGCACTCCATATGTTATTCCTGCCTATGGAGGTTTTAGTGGCAGTTACTCAAAGGCCATTTATCTGTTCATACACAAGGATAGCAAAGAAGCCATTGATTCACTACATTGGACATAGGGAGTGCACCACACAAGACCCATTGAACCTTATGGTTTTAAGAGAGGCTGCACTCACTGCACCTGCAGTATTTTCAGCAATGTTACTTTTTAACTGTGGAAAAATGTAATTGGCAAACCAAAGTGAGACATTCTAAATTATATATTTAGTCAGGTCTTTTTGACTTGCTGTGCATGATGTGAAAAGAAGGAGTAGAGTCATTCCCTCTATTTATGAATATCTAAGACTCATAGGCATTCTTTCAATTTATCACTGTATATAACTGTCCTTGTAAATATCTTGGCTTTCTCTAAGAAAGAAATTCTATCTGGTACTCCCTCACTGCAACTACTACTGGACCTTACCTATTTAACAGTATTATATCACAGCTAAAATAATAAAATATATGCTACAACAAACACGTATCATAACTCTACCAACAATTTCATAAGTTAACAAACCTACCTTGTCTGACTGGACAGTCGGAAGCCAACAACAGACTCTTTGTTTAGACCAGCTGCTTCAATCTCAATAATATCATCCACATTCGATTCAGTGGCAACAAACTGTATGGGGAACTTCCATATCCCTCCTGTGACACACTTTACAACTAATGTGGCAGAATGCCTGAAAGATCAATTATATGGCTTAGTTAATTAGTTTACACGTGTGAGCCTATGTGACCTTAAAAAAAAACTATTATGAGAGAAACATGGAGACTGCTAACGTCTTCTTCTAAAAATGTTAGTTGCCAGGCTGCTGTGCTGACCCTCTATTTTTAACTTTAAAACTATGCAGATAAGATCTTCTGGTTTTTTTAAGACTTTCTCAATCTGCATTCTTGTTCCAGAACAGATACAATCAACGTATTGAAAGCCAGATGATTACTGCAACAGCCAAGCAACTAGTACTTTTAAAAGGTTATCAATTGTAGCCTCCATATTACTCTCTTTTACAGGTTTACTTTAAAACAGTACTTCAACAAGTACAACATCCACCCTTTTGTCAAGTTACATATTAATTAAAAGAAAATGTAACATTATATTTCACAACACTGATTGTGTAACTATCTGAAATCTATTATACATTATTTTCCCACAACTCCCTGGAGAGCAGATATCACAGGGTGAAAGGTATGCATGATGTATCTTTCAGGAAAAAAAGAGAACTTCTAGAAATGGTTCCCTGTTCCGGAACACTTTTTGTAAAACAACTGAGCAGCATTGACCAGGAACTGCAATTATAGATAGCATATGTGATACCATCTGCTGATAAAGTCTGGCATCCTGGTCATTCAGATACAGTATTGTGCTAAGAGCACCATTAAAGTTTGTTGGATTGAGCAGACATTGAGTACACCACTGTTAATAAGAATCAAAAGTGAAGAAGCTGCAAAGCTCCTGAAAATATAACTGCAGTCACAATTCTTTTTTGATAGAATAAGGGAGTGTTAACATTTCTGTCATGATTTTATTTCTGTCTGTGACCCCCTTTGTTGAAATACTCCCTCACTTCCTGTTCCTGTGACAACTATCCAGTCAACAGGAAGTCAGGGGAAATATCAAAATATAGGCATTGAGGCCAGTAAAAACCTGACAGAAGCTCTAGACCTTCTTACTCAATCCAAAACAAACTAAAATATTTTGTATGGAGTTGTGCTTTAAAAAACAAGTTCAGCTCTAAATATTTTGCATGCTTATGTTAATAGAGAGGAGCTGCTAGAAATGACAATTGCTGCCGATCACAGGGAAGAAAAATAGGAAACCAGATGGATTTTCTAACCCATCCATTTATAGTCCTTACAAGTGCTTTCAGCCAGCAGCCATCATAGTAGACATAAGAAGACAGCCAGATTAGGTAACTGTCATCTCATTTCCAAGAACTGCAGAAGATATTTTGCCTGAAAATGAGAAGGCGGCAATTGGTTTGGTGACTCAAATATAGGAATATTAAAATACTTGCCCTGTATCTGTAATACTGCGTTAAAAATAATTGTCAAAGTTTAGGCTTCCTAACAGGTTCATGGTACTCCTTTCATTGAGCAGTATGAAGAAGTGCAGGTGCGAGGAAAAAGTTAGCTAGTTCATCTACTGAGAAGTAACTGCATGGTTTCATTAACTCTCATGTCATTTTGCATTGTACATGGCACTAATTAAAATGAATTCTTAACATTCCATATTTGTTGTCTAATTGCAAGATTAGGTATTACTTTCACTATAAAACACTACATATGTAATACTTTACCTCATTGACTTGTTGGGTGCAAAAATGATGTTGAAAATTAAAGTGACAATCCCAGATGGTGTATCACGCTCTTTCCTAACAAGTTCAATTCCCACAGATGGTTCCAGCTGGGATCTTGATTCTTCAGAATCATACCTAATTTCATACAAAAATTCATCTGTAGTGCTGAGACCTAAAATTAGACCAAGATGAATGGTTAGACCTGTCAGCATCAGTGCCACCCATGACCTAATACAGCTTGCCTATATAGCTTCCCATTATAGTTGTTTTTTATTAGGAAATGTATTTTTAGCCACATCAGAAACATCCTTCTATTAGAATAAACAAGAATTTTACACTTTTTCACATAAAATCCTGGATGCAAAAATCAAGTAAAAAGTACATCAAATGTGATTATGAAACTATGTAAAAAAAACTAAAATAAAAACCCTTTTAGCATGCTGTCCTCCTACCCTGTACAATTTATAATACATCCAACAGACTCTCTTGCAAAGGATGCAGCCACTGGACAGACCTATGTACAGACATTTTCATCTACAGAAATATTAGAAAACAGTGTATGTTTCAACACACCAAAATCAAAGCAACACTTAAATACCAATTATTTGTGAATCCATGCCTTAAGGGACATCAAAGGACTGAAAAACAAGAGATTTCCATTTGTTGTATATTTAAATGGTTATTCCACTTTTGTTAAAATGTACCATTCGACTTCAACCTGTAGCTATTTGAATGACTGTAGCTAACTTTGCTTTTCTAAAATTGCCAAACAAATTGAAATCAATTACTTATCACCATGATTGTGATAACTCCCACACCACTAGAAGACACAATAATGACATAAGGCTGGTGGGAGAAACCCCCGAGTGAACAGAGAATGACACTCCAGGAAGGGTCAGTTATTGCACAGACTTCAGATAATAATTCCTTTTGTTTAGAGTGGTGTTCAGTGTTGTGAGCAGTGGGAGGCATATATACATTCACATGCTACAGTTACTGCTTTAATTTCAAACATTCTGGGTGGTGACAGAGTTGCTTTAACAGTTACAGGTGTGAGTATTACACTGTATGATTTTTAGCAGGTTTTAATAATGGATAGTTTAGTGTTGACTTACATCTTTATCATAGCTCTTTAGAATACCTCCACTAGCCAAATAAAGGGTTGACAGGGCTGGAAACTTTCATGATTCATGTTCTTTGGTGAGATTCTTTCCTAAGTTCCTTCTCTTGTACATAAGCAGTCTTTGTAAACATGCACTAAACCATTTATCTGTTAAACAATGGTTGATGTTTATTTAATTCATGCATATGCAACACAGGCTTTTCATGCATCACTTATTCCCTGTGCAGAATGAGTCATAAAAACTGGCAGAACAATACTGGGAGAAAAAGTAAATCTTGTGCCCATAGCAACCAGTAAGTTTCCAGAGACAATTATATAAAGAATGCTAATGCTGCTATGAGCAATGCCAGTCCTGGTTTATGTGACCCTTTGCATAGAATTTTGGTAATGAAAAGGAACCTATTGCCCTGTACCTTTAACTGTTCTTTCTGAGATAACATCAAAAAACTTTTATATAACTCTCAATATCCTTAATATATATGAGCCTAACCATTAACATACTCATTTAATGGAACTAGAGTCAGAAAATTCATGTAATTATTAGAATGACACAGAAGAGTAGAATTGGGTTTCCAGTATCAAAAGGATGTCTGTTTACTGCACCCCTCGTCTCCTCATTCCCTTTGTTTTGTAAAGTCCATCTCACTTCTCTAAAAAATAGTGAAGGGGAGTTGAGACATAGCAGCAGTCTCAGCAGGGAAAGGAAGTAAGTCGTACAAAGCAGGATAGCGAGATTGCAAGGAAAAGATTTAGAGGAGCTTACTGGACATACAGTATCTGAACCATATACAGGTGAAACTTGAATAATTAGAATATCGTGCAAAGTTCATTTATTTCACTAATGCAACTTAAAAGGTGAAACTAATATATGAGATAGACTCATTACATGCAAAGCAAGATAGTTCAAGCCGTGATTTGTCATCATTGTGATGATTATGGCTTACAGCTCATGAAAACCCCAAGAACCCCCAAATCCACAACCTCAAAAAAGTAGATTAATACATGGAATCAATAAAACAAGGATTGTACATAGAACAATATCGGACCTCTGAAAAGTACAAGCATGCATATGTACTCAGTACTTGGTTTGGGCCCCTTTTGCAGCACTTACTGCAATTACTTTTGCACGATATTCTAATTATTTGAGTTTCACCTGTAGATTATGATGAATTTTATGAACCCTAATACTAAAAACAAAACACCTGTAATGTCACATATGTCATTGCAGGTGAGATGTAAAATAAATGATGGTTTTGTACAACAATTATAGCTGAACTGCAAATAAACATCTAAATACAAAGATAGAATACATAAATGGGAGCCATAAGAATTTGTATTTCTGTCCATCCATCCTGATTTCTCTCTGGTTTATCTAAGTAACCATTACACACCTTGTTCCTCCACCAGTCTGTGACGGGAAAATGTAAGGAAAAGCAGCAGACTGATAAGCTTATCTCTATCACTTTGCTCTCTCCTCATATCAGCGAGTCTCTCATTAGTACGTGAATACTTAAAGGGTTTCTAAACCCTCCGTTTTTTGGCCTATATCTACTGCTAGCAAGCAGTAGATATATATGCAAAAAGTTTAAAAAAACAAACGCTTTAACAGCAGTTTAAACCTACCCCGTCTTCGCCACACGCTCTAGTCCGAGAATCCGAAACTGAACGGGCGGCCGCAAAGCATCTAGGGGAGGACTCATGCGCAGTTCGGATTTTTGGCCGGGAGACGAGCAGAGACGCAAGGTAAGTCTGTGGACGCGTGCACACGCATGCAGACACCGCAGGATTGGAAGTGCCTGCAAGGACAGAGGAGTCAGCGCTGGATCGGAGAGCTGCGGCACCGCTGGAGGGACAGATGAAAACATCAGGAAAGAAGAAGATCGGATTAGGAGACATTATTTAAGGCAAGTGCTGACATTAACATTGGGGGAGGGAAACTTTTTTTGCCTTTAATGTCACTTTAAGCACAGCAGACTAGCTCCTTGTGCTGTTTCTCCTTCACCCTCTGTTTTCTCCTGTGGGCTCTGCCATGCAGGGGATTGCAAGAGTCTGACACCAGGTTTTACACTGCAGGCATTTAAAATGCATTCAATGTTGTATTATTAAAAACAGAGCTACATTAAATGATCTTATTTAATATCTGTCTGGAGTTCAGCTTTACATTTTTGTTTCAGTGCTACTGCTATCCACTTTTCATTAATCAGACACATAATACGTTTGGAGGTGGCTATGGCTACTTTTAAAGTCTAATATCTGATCCAGAAGCCCTTTACATTCTTTATTACAAAAAAGCTTTCATAGATTCTCTAGTCACAGATCTTGTTTATACCTAGATACTTTCCACAAATTATATTAAAAATAACCAGTACTGAATCATGCTTTTTCAATGTAGACTTTCAAATTATGGCTACATTCACAAGAGAGAATGAAGAAGACCTCTTCAAGCACAACACAGACACTTTTTCTGTTATTAAGATGCAAAAAGAAGATACACAGTTTTACATTTTAATATGAGGAAATATAGACTGTGCATAGCTTTATGACAGATATGAGAAACAATGAATTAAAAGAAGAGAAACAAAAACTGTATTAGATACCATGCTTTACAAAAGTGTTCCTTGAGGCTGTTTTTCTAATCATATTTCTGTTAATGCCATGTTTTTAATTTCAAGGATTTTGAATAGAATATCTCTGCATTGCTATAAACATCTTTGCATTAAAAACCATGGGTAATCATAATCAATTCAGCCAAAAATGTTACAAACAAAATAAATATAGACATCAATAAATGAATTAATCACATACCAAGTAAAATAAAGACCCTAATTAACAGCATTTTGTATTTCATTTATCCAAGAGTGGCGGCTGAAGTTTATTTGTATGTGACAACTGCAAGGCATTTTAAAACCAGTATTTCCAGTTCTCCATTCATTATCAAATTTGGGTCTACATTGCCAGAGCAAAAAAGTTCCCTAATAATTGGACTTCTTAAACCCATTACATTGTTTAAAATATCCACAGAAGCAGACTATTACAAATGTACAGTATTATATTACATCTAACCTTCCTTTTCTTGTGCTTTAACAGCTGCTATTTCAGGCAGTGTAAACATTGCTTTGTTTATATTTAGCCTATCTGCAGTCTTCATTGGCTGAGAACATGGAAGGTATCAGGGATCTCTCTAAATGTAAATTTAAAGAGTAAATCCACTTTTGTTGACAAGAAAATCAACCCCCCTGGGAGATCTGTGTACATTGTAAGGATTTGAACAAACTTTGTTGCAGTTTCCTGCCTGTTTCTGCTCTGAAGAAAAAGCTGTTTGTTGCAGCATGTCCTTTCCAAACTGATCCCTGAATGGAAGGTTTGGGTTCATTGTAATAAGCTGGTGGGTTTTCTGTGTTGTAATCAGGAAAGGTGCAGTGTATGCATCCCTTAAGGAGTATTTCTCCAAAAATGAGATTCCTATTGCAAGGGATGCAAAAATTATACTTGTATCTTCATGCAGACTTCTGGGAAAATCAGTCAGCCAATCACAGAAGCAGGAAGTGACATTTCTGGGGCAATCCATACACCAACTATGTACAGAACACCTCCAGGCTGCCATACTGCATTTAATTTTTTGACAGATTTAGAACATTACAGCAGCTACAACTTTAAATGGAAAGGTAATTTTTTAAATAACATTAAATTACAAAAAAAGCTCATGCAACAATTATATATGTTATATTAACTTTTTAAAGTTGTTTTCAGGAGTATATTTGTATATTTTCAAGCTTCCACATTTGGCTGTTTGGCAGCACAAAAGATGGGTGGATAGTCAGGGTTTAGGAAACTTAAATAAATGCTGGATTCTTCCAGCAGCTTGTAATCATTATAGACGGCAATTACACAAATGCTGTGAAGTATAGAATTCATTATTTATGGCTCCTAGTTCTGAAGACATGATTAAACTACACTGTAGTGTAGCAGTGAAAAATGCAGATGAGCTAAATGTAAACAAAGCAGTGCACACACAGGCCTTAGCCTGTGTTGATAGTCCTCAAACAATA